TGATAGACTTACCTCCACGTGGTGCACCCTGGGCAACGTATACTCATACGGCAAAAAAGTCTATTACCTGGCAGTTGACTTCAAACTACCATGACCCCACTGTATGTCATATTCGACTACTTTTACAGTACTCATTCCGCCTTTTTTCCACCTTATCTACCTCCGTCTTTGATACACTCTTCTGTCCCCCCCCCCACCCATCTTGAATTTTTTACACTTTGATGTTCCTTCTCCTCTGTGAAGACTGAAGTCGACTAAAGGGCTAATGATAACCGTCAAAACGCCGGCTATTTGATATAATAATAATAATACTTGTGGAGGTTGTGGTCGAATAGGGTTTGTGGGACCCGTTATCGTTGTGTGCGTCATCGTATGCCTGCATGTCTGCTCGCCAGGATTGTGAGGTGCGACCGTACAAACAGTAACCAATCACTAACCTCTGTTTAACCTAATCCCCCATCCTGATCATGAGTAGCTCCCTGCGTGTACACTTGATCCGTAATATACTCACTGAATAAACGTGCTCCTTGCTACACGTCTGTTTCCTTTCATAGCTGGGCTATAGCTTAGCTGGTTCTGGGAGTCTAGCTAGATGTTGAAGAATCTGCCATAGAGGCTTCTGAGTCAATCAGGCTTTACTAGCGTCGTAATCCGCTACAGGTATTTGCATAACAACGAAGGCTCCAGTCTCTGAACAAGAAATGCTATGACCTTGTTTAATTTCAAAAACCTTCAAAGAAAGAGGTCCAAATGTAAATAGTTTTCGTAGTCAACAATTTTACTGTTAGGTCTACAACGGATGTGTGTGTGTATTAAATTATTGATTATACAATCAATAACAATGATTATTGATTGGCTGGGAGATCTCTGTACGCTCACGCGAGATGGCGCGTTGAGCGATTTGCATCAATTTGCAGTTGGATGGAGCTTGTACAAGGTAACCTTAGATCAACTTTTTTAATGTTGTACATTCAGAAAGCTCTTGAATGCTTCATACATTCGCCCGTCTCTTAATCGGTTGGAAATCATTGGAAAAATAAAAATTAAAAATATTGTTGTAAATTTTGAAAAACACCTTACAACTTGCGAATGCACCATTTCATTAAGGCCAACATGTTTCATTTTAATAGTATTACATAAAACGATGTGTTTTTTGGGGACATTAGGACTAATTTGCCTATATAAACGATTGCGAAAGTTTAATTATCAAAAATTAATCTGCTAGCTTGATAGCGGATTAAATAATAACTGTCTCCTACTTCCTTCGGACAAGTCCATGAAGGAAGGAAAAGAAGAGGTCTCATTTCCACCTATTTAAGTAAGAAATTCAGCTCTATTCCAACAAAGAAAGAGCCATTCTGACATTGTGATCCGACTTTGGCAAATAAAATGTAATCTTGAAAGTTTTATTATTATTATTATATCAAATGGCAGGCGGTTTGATGGTTATCATTTGCCCTTTAGTTGACTTCAGGTTTCACAGAGGGGAGGAACATCAAAGTGGATGATGGTAGTTTGATGTCGTAGGTCAACTGCCGGTTAATAGACTTTTTTTGCCGTATGCGTATACGTTGCCCAGGGTGCACCACGTGGAGGTAAGTCTATCGCACACCCCGTAATCTTGAAAGTTATACTAATGGAAATAGTTTTCCTTCAATATGCGGATGGTTAGGCGAAAGACTACACGAATAAGCCAATGGTAACTCGTTTCTCATGTTTCAATTGGTTCTATAAAAGGGATATGTTTTCCAGATGTGGTGGGTCTCCACCACCTCCTTATTCGTGGGTAGTCATTAAGTTAAACTCGTCCCTCTTGAAAGCTTTAAATCCAATCATAAATGACTGCTCTACATGAAGCAGTCTCCATGGCAAAATCTCCTGGTACTTGTCCCTCCCCCCAACTGAAATGGGCCGAATAGCCTTGAAACAATAGACTTGGAAACATGAGGGCATGGTGTGAATGCATTTGTTCGGGTAGTGGCCTCAGTACATTGGCTGTGCAGTGACCATGGTTTGTTGATTAGCTGTGAGGTCGCTGTCCTCATGACTGCAAGCACTTCCTGGCGCAATCAGTAGCACTGCCACATGTTCCAGAATGTTCGAGCCCTCATTAATCTCATTGGTTCATCAACGGTGCTCAGATCTGCAATGCTTTAACCACCCAATTATCTTTAAACGTCACTGATGTAAATAACTTTTTTTTTCTTTTTTGAAGAGCGATATGAAGGTATTTAAGAGGTATGCATTATTTCCATTAAAGTGAATCCTGATTTCAACATTCGAAGCCCACGCTAAGTACTCTTGATTGTTACGAGTGCCTGTTATTTTTCTAACAATGTCAAAGAAGGGAGGATTTATTGATTTATTTCAAATGGCAGGCATTTTGATAGTTATCATTAGCCCATTAGTTGACTTCAGGCTTCACAGAGGGGAGGAACAGACAAAGTGTGACACATTCGAGAGGGGGAACAGAGGACTGATTCACAGATGTGAAAGAGACAGACAGATACTGTACTGTGAAGTAGTCGATTATGACATACAGTGGGGTCATGGAAGTTTGAAGTGAGAAGTCAACTGCCGGTTTATAGACGTTTTTGTCGTATGACCATACGTTGCCCAGGGCGCACCACGTGGAGGTAAGCCTATTGCACACCCCACATTTTCAATAAAATTTTAAAGATCAATTGTAATAACCATGAGCATGTTATTTACTTTTAGTAAATCAAGGAAGATGTGGTATTCACAACTTCCCAACGAAGTGTGTCATCCATTCCATGGGTCTTAATCAATTTAGTTTTTTCCTCTGCTATGGATTTCAATCACCTTTCTGCCCGCCCACCTCCTATTACTCTTCCGCCTCATTCAATGAAGCGGGTTCTCAAATAGCTAAATAACCTTCAGGGTCCACAATTTTGAGACGTGGTGCAAGTACCTTTTTATGAACTTCTAATTCATCTTTAAGGGTTTTACGAAGTTCTTAGGTTTTCGATTTTACACAAAATGAAATTTGACTGGCAGATAATTAGACTGAATCAATCAGTTCCGTAGTGGAGCCGAAATTGTCACCAATCAAGTCAACCTTTGCAATACCTCAAATAACTTTGCATCGAGCATCGAAATTTGTTAACTATTTCTCCCTTTAAACTTTGGGCAGATCTAAGTGCCGATGTACTGATCTGCTGCATTTTAGACTCAATCGACGTTCTCGTGAAAGTTCTGTGCCAAATCTGCACTTTCAATTTGGCACTAATGCGAGTGTTCTTCAAATGGGCCTTAACAACAATCGCAGCGATTGAAGTATGTCCTCTGGGTATCGTAAAAATTAATCTATTAAACTCTACATTCAGAGTAGTGGGGTGCGCAATAGACTTACCTCCACGTGGTGCACCCTGGTCAACGTATACTCATACGGCAAAAAGTCAATTAAACGGCTGTTGACTTCTCATTTCAAACTACCATGGCCGACTGAATGTCATATTCGACCGCTTCCACAATACTTATCTTACCTAGTCTTTGCATTTGTATCAGTCTGTCTCCTTTAAATCTGTGAATCATTATTCTGTCCCCCCCCTCTCGTCTTTTTGTCACTTTGATGCCTCTCCTCCTCTCTATGAAGCCCAAAGTCAGCTAAAGGGCTAATGATGACAATCAAAACGCCTGCCATTTGAAATAAATAAGCAAATAAATGAACATTCCGATTAGTTCCTTCATGGGCAAATTAATTATAATGTTTAGTGATGCTACGTGGAGGTATTTAAATGTACAAAAAGCCATTTTTATTACCCAAATGTATCCCTGAAAAACTAGAATGCGTAAGTTATGTTTCTCTTCGTATCGTTCAAACAGAAACATAATCCCAATTGCTCTTGGCAATGCTTACTGAGGTCATGAAAAACAGGATATTTTGAAACCATTTCAACCAATCAACTTTGAGCGTTATGTCAAGGACAATATGTTTATATAAAAACTCTATTATTGAGAGGCCTAACATTTACCATGGCTGGGGTTGACGTAGTGCCATCCTCTATCCGATACGAGTTGGTGGAAAGTAAAGTTATTGCCGAGAGACTTGGATATGACGTACTTCCTGACAATTTTCGGGAAAGCGGATCTTTGCCGGGTGGCAACTATTTTGCGGTCGCAGGATTTAAAAAAACCCATTACTACCTTTACCCCTCCAAGGAAGACTTTATTGCTTACTTCCTGTAAGTTGTTTATACGTAGTTAACTAGCCAATATTTTTGCCTCTCCCCACCCTACATAGGAATCATTACTTCGACATCAATTTCGTCAGCCAAAATCGGCGAATGCGGCCCTATTTAATTAGATTCAGGGGGGTACCTGTTAGAACATTCACAGATTATCCCCGCCTGGCGTCCGTTGGTGCCCAACCACAAGAAATTATTTCGGCTGTCATTTCAAAGCTGCCTCATTTAAAAATAGTCCATATGGCCTATTGTGGAATTTTTATTTCCCGTAGGGATGAATGTAAGTTGTTCAAAGTGCATTATCTGTCCACTTTTCTGTAGATTACGGCATTGACGACCATAGGCGAGTTTTTCTACACACATTATGTTGGTATAGAAGAGTTTAATAACTCGCAGGACATCGTCATCAATCTTCCTTCTTATCCTCATATCTTAGCACTGTTATTATAACTATCATACTCAGTCACCCTGTAAAAAGACTTTCTCTATTTGCACTACATAGCGATAAATGCTTTGTTCCTTTTAATTCATATTACTGTATGGGGTGCCATATATGCTCCTTCTTTGAATATATTGCAACTGGAAGATCTTTGATGGACCAATCAACATGCTCACACAGCTTAAAGATAGTCAGCCATGTTATTATTATTGTTATTTCAAATGGCAGGCTTTGTGATATTTATCATTAGTCCCTTAGTTGACTTCAGCTTCCCAAAGGGTGGGGAGGTACATTTATAGCAGTTAATTAATAGCAGTTCATGAAGGGAGGTACATTTATAGCAGTTAATTAATAGCAGTTCATTAGTTACCTTCTGGCTTCCCGATATCTCTGGGTTTCCCTCGTTGTCTTTAGGGCTGGACATCGAATCAGGTGGGTCTTCTCCAGTTCTTCCTGTAGATCACATAGGGGGCATGTTGGTTGAGTGCATACTCCCAATCTGTGAAGGTGCTTTGCCAGGCAATCGTGTTAGGTTACATAGAGGGCATGTGGGTTGAGTGTATACTCCCAGGCTACATAGGGGGCATGTGGGTTGAGTGTATACTCCCAATCCAGAGGGCATGTGGGTTGAGTGTATACTCCCAGTCTGTGAAGGGCATGTGGGTTGAGTGTATACTCCCAATCTGTGAAGGTCCATGTGGGTTGAGTGTATACTCCCAATCTGTGAAGGTGTACATGTGAGTTGAGTGTATACTCCCAATCTGTGAAGGTGTTTTGATAGGCAATCGTGTTCGGTACGTAGTCTAAACTCATCAACGGCTATCTGTGAAGGTGTTTTGTCAAGCAATCGTGTCCGGTACGAATCTGTGCAGAGGGCATGTGGGTTGAGTGTATACTCCCAGTCTGTGAAAGGGCATATGGGTTGAGTGTATACTCCCAATCTGTGAAGGGGGCATGTGGGTTGAGTGTATACTCCCAATCTGTGAAGGTCCATGTGGGTTGAGTGTATACTCCCAATCTGTGAAGGTGTACATGTGAGTTGAGTGTATACTCCCAATCTGTGAAGGTGTTTATAGGCAATCGTGTTCGGTACGTAGTCTAAACTCATCAACGGGACGTAGTCTAAACTCAGCAACGGCTCTGTCCGATACGTAGTCTAAACTCAGCAACGGCTTCGATTCTCGCCGCCGGGTATGTCGGAGAGTGCCACTGTCCACTATTTCTCCTCTATCTGCTATAGTTTGATTGTGACAATTCAGTAATTGATGAGGGTAAATTGGCGTTTCGAAATTAAATTAGTCGGGGTCTCACATTCTCACAGAAGTTATATTTTTAGACCTACTAATTACCTGATTGTGTAAGAGAAAAGTTTCACCGTGTATTCTCTCGTAGTGAGCACAAAAATGAAAAAAGAACTCGATTTTCATAACAAGTTATGCCCCTGAAAAGTTGTTTTGATTCACTCAAGTCGCTCAGGTCATTATCCAGCAAATTGTCACTGTCGATACAACTATTGAATGAAATTAACTTGCTTGCGAAAATCTCCCAATTTTTTTTATTAAAATTCGCTAATAGTGTATTGATCGGAAGTTATAGCAATAACTTGGTTTATCTGGCAAAATATTTGCAAATGACATTATCATGACCATACACTAATAAGATTACAGGAAAATATTTATTTATATCAAATGGCAGGGGTTTTGATAGTTGTAATTAGCCCTTTAGTTGACTTCAGGCTTTACAGAGGGGAAGGAACATCAAAGTGAAAAGGTCGAGATGGGGAGGGGAACAGAAGAGTATTTCAAAGATGAAAAAGGGACAGACACAAAGTTGGAAAAAAGGTGAGGTGAGTGCTGTGGAAGTGGTTGAATTTGACATACAATTGGGGGTGATGGTAGTTTGTGATCAAAAGTCAACTGCCGGTTAATAGACTTTTTTGTCGTATGAGTATACGATGCCCAGGGTGCACCACATGGAGGTAAGTCTATCGCACATCCCTAACCACGGAAAAATAGAAGATTTTAATTACCTCTTCTGAAGCTGCAAGATAATAAATGAATGGAAATTTCTAGAACTTTTAGAAAGTCGGAATGGAATACCAACATAAAAGCGCTCTTATAGGTCCTTTATCTTAATACTTCATAGGAAGACCATAGATATACATCGATTAATTAAGGTGAAAGATGACTATTGTGGTGTTCGCAATCCGAAACACACAATTAAATTGAGCAATTGCATGCGCACCCGAACAATCTGGAGGGTACGATCGTGTATGCAGGTGACCTCTTAACAAATTAGGGCTAATCTTTCAAGTTAGGTTGAATGTACTCAATTGCTAATCGTGTTTGTCGCAACATACCCACCTGAGCAACCACTCCTTCCTTCGTTTCCATTCTGGGATATTTTGCCATACAGAGAGAGAGAGAGAGAGAGAGAGAGAAAGAGAGAGAGAGGGTAGCAGAAGAGGGATTCACAGATGTAAGAGAGACAGGCACAAAGGTAAGGGAAAAAGGTAATGTGGGTACTGTGGAAGTGGCCGAACGACAAACAATCGGGTCAACTGCCGGCTTATAGACTTTTTAGTCACATGAGTATACGTTGCCCCCAGGGTGCACTACGGGGAGGTAAATATTAGTGCGTAAAATGTTTTATTGGTCATTTTGCGAATACTAGTTAATTTTGGGCATATTGAAAGACATCACATCTGCAAGTTGCTGATTAGAAATCCGCTAAAAATTTCAATGATAAGTTGTACAAATAGGCAGGATGCAATATATCATCCTCCACAAATCTCTTCCTAGGGGTCTACATACAGTTTGCGAGCCAACGTCCAATAGGAGTCCTCAAAATTTTCATATGCTATATAAGATAGAAAAACCGCCAACTTATTCAATTGAATCGTTAAAATAATTCATAGTTTTTTTGGTACTCACGTTCATGCCTTCGGCAAATAAGAGACCCCAAATGTCCCTTATTGACAAATTTCAAATGTGGTAACTTAGTGTCCACGGCATGAATTATTTCTTCCGGTTGAGCGCCGATAAGTGCCAAACGAGGAAAGCTCTTCAAACTGCCAACAGGCACGCCCTTGAAGATGGCGAGGCAAATTTGCATGTAGGGGTCATGAGTGACGCTATTTCTGCTGAAGTGATGATTTCTATTTTAAAGACGCACTGTCAAATGAACACGCACAATGGCTTACATTACACTCGCGATGTAGTCACCTTTAGTCTCGAAGAGCCTGAATCCAACTTGACCCGGCGTTGTAGCCGCAAAATATTGACCATCGGACAGAGTTCCTCTGGACGGTAATTGACAAAGAGGGACATCCAAATTGAGTATGTTTGCAATGTAATTCCCCGTGACAAACTTATATTGTATGGTAATGGGAATCTCTTCACTCAGCTCCATTTCACTTGAAACTGATAATTTCAAAATCTCATAGAGTTAGTCATGGTGCATTGAGTTAAATATATATATATATATATATGTGTGTGTGTGTCGGGTTAGTGACCTTAATGCACTTTCAGCTATCATGCAGCTAACTCCAATCAAAATGTTAGCAAACTTCCGACAAGCGTGGTAGAAGATTTGGCTTGTGTTATTCAAGTCAGTGAGGTTTAGCAATGGTCGAGGAGGTCCATTAAGATTAGGATGATATTTCACTAATTTTTTCGTCTTGTGAAGTTTGAATGGTTTGCTACAACTACTACATTCTTGCTACATTCTTGGCTAAAACTTTCTTTTTAAGGTGAAAATTTTCAATGCAATCACCTCCTCTATTTTCTAATTTGCCGGATATGTGCTTTCATACACTTGTTCCCAAATGAAGGGAAAATGCCATTATGAATAGAACAGTCAAAGATTGCAATTGATATTGAAATGTGAGAAGCAACGCCCACTTCAACCTCCGTGAGTCTTAAGTGAAGTAAATCACCTATGGGATGTGATTTTAATAAAATTTTGAAAGTTTATTTGTTTATATCAAATGGCAGGCGTCTTGATGGTTATCATTAGCCCTTTAGTTGACTTCAGGCTTCACAGAGGGAAGGAACATCAAAGTGAAA